TAAACGTCTGGGTGTGCGCGTCTCGTTTCTCGACTCGAAACCTCAAGGTCACAGGCTTAGAACACCCGTTGCTAGGTGTTTAGCTCGGTCACATGACTTCTGGCTTGCTCCACCCTGATGCTAGCTGCCCAGCCATCGACCGGCATAAACGTCTGGGTGTGCGCGTCTCGTTTCTCGACTCGAAACCTCAGAGTCACAGGCTTAGAACACCCGTTGCTAGGTGTTTAGCTCGGTCACATGACTTCTGGCTTGCTCCACCCTGATGCTAGCGGCCCAGCCATCGACCGGCATAAACGTCTGGGTGTGCGCGTCTCGTTTCTCGACTCGAGACCTCAAGGTCACAGGCTTAGAACACCCGTTGCTAGGTGTTTAGCTCGGTCACATGACTTCTGGCTTGCTCCACCCTGATGCTAGCTGCCCAGCCATCGACCGGCATAAACGTCTGGGTGTGCGCGTCTCGTTTCTCGACTCGAAACCTCAAGGTCACAGGCTTAGAACACCCGTTGCTAGGTGTTTAGCTCGGTCACATGACTTCTGGCTTGCTCCACCCTGATGCTAGCTGCCCAGCCATCGACCGGCATAAACGTCTGGGTGTGCGCGTCTCGTTTCTCGACTCGAAACCTCAGAGTCACAGGCTTAGAACACCCGTTGCTAGGTGTTGAGCTCAGTCACATGACTTCTGGCTTGCTCCACCCTGATGCTAGCTGCCCAGCCATCGACCGGCATAAACGTCTGGGTGTGCGCGTCTCGTTTCTCGACTCGAAACCTCAAGGTCACAGGCTTAGAACACCCGTTGCTAGGTGTTTAGCTCGGTCACATGACTTCTGGCTTGCTCCACCCTTATGCTAGCTGGTCATATTTCTGCACACCTACTCCGTTTATCGTAACAAATACCAATACATAATGAAGAACTAGCTTAGGCTAGATATAGAAGAACATATTTAATATGTTTAAAAATATAAGAAATTATTCATCAATGACCCCGCCTGCACGGCCGATCCATGCCATTCCATCTTCTATAATTCATCCAATTCCTTGTTCGCGCCTTCTACATCGCTAGGAATTTCTCCGCGTAAAATGTTGAATATCTATTTTCCGAGTGATCTCATATTCAGTTTTGAGGATTGTGTGGTTATGATCAAACGCCTCTACAGAACACACGGTCGCCCTTACCCGAGTGGGGAATATAACGGAGGTTGCTGATGTCATCTTTGTGATGGGTTAATATGGGATCTAGTAAGGATGATTCGGGATCTGGGTTGTACCTAGTTGCTTCTTTCACTTGTCGCATTAGAGCACATAGGATAACTGCACCACCTTGATTTTTTAAATAGGATCTTCCGACAACTCAGTCCTTAGAATTTTTTCCAATTTACCGTAGGTGGATTATAGTCTTCTAACATCAACCACTTGATGGCCAAGTGTTTGAAACGTCTGACAGGACATTATTCACTCCACAGTTTGGATTACGGTAGACCAAACTAATCATCATCTCTTTCTGTTTTCATTTCAAGCAACACCCAACTAATTTGCACGTTTCACTTTCACAGGATATGTTATCAATGATGGCTAGTGGGATAGTAGTTCCAGTGAATAAGGATACTCTTCCTTTACGCTTCTGGGTTCTGTTAGCCCTCAGTAATGTCCAACCTTTAAAATCAAGTCCCCTTAGGTTTACAGGCTGTGTCAGCGAAGTTTCTGTGAAGGCGGTTACACTTGGATACCTACACACCTAGCTCCAGCAACTTGTTGATCGTGCTCAGAGCATTTATGCAACAAATTCGAGGGCAATTTAAATGGCTCCGTACTGCACCCAACCTGACTTTGAAATCATTCTTTGTCAAAGTTACATCACCCGCAAATTTGCAATTCTGAAATATACCATAGTTTTTTGGTTGATTTTGAGCTTGACATCTTTTTGTATTGCCCACGAGCGACAAATATTTACTAACATCAAGTAATATTAGATCTTTTTAATTGGGAAATTCAAGTTCTACATTTGGTAGCCTGGTTTGGTTCATACTGGTTACCTAGTCTATAAACCTTAGGCAAGGTGACCCCGGAGATGTCTTGAGGCAATAGCTGACAAAGTGGGTTTCGAACTCCCTCTATCCATGCCTTTACGAAGGACAAACGAACTGTCACAATGGTCAGTCTCCAATTTTTCAGCTAGTGTTTGGCGGGCTAGCCTTACTTTAGTAATATTAGGTCGTTTGTTATACTTGATCTGTATACATTCGTCAACTTTCATTAGGATAGCAATCAAAATTGCATTACAAACACTGTGAGAACTCGGATGATTGTCAGTGGCTTGAATGATCATGTTGTTCTTTGTCCTGTTAGAAACAGACCTAGCCTTGCGAATAAATTCACTAGGCGTTTCCTGCTCGTTATCATTCAGAGGCGGGAGCAGGAAGATGTTCCGCTTTTAAGCTTTTATTTCCAGTAGACCTCATTAAAGCCGGTCCTTCCTACTTTGGTACAAGTCGGTCGATCGACTCGACGCTTATTTGAGACAACTTCACATAGATTTATGTATCAATAGAGCGAGTATCAATTGATGTATACAGTTGTAGAATTATGGTCTACTTCGTTATCAGTGCTGTTCTAATAATAGACCTAATCCTAAAATTGTACATTTGTCATGATATAACTGCCTAATCTATAAGATCTTACGTGGAATTCACGTCATTGTCTACACTGACCCATCGTACCGTAACAATTAAAAATATATGATGGAGAACGCATTCAGGCTGGAGATAGAACAATATATTTAATATGAGTAAAAGCAGGTTGTACAGATCGGGCACACCTGAAAGGCCGAGCCATGCCATCCGATCAGTTTGAACTGACTGAATTGATTGTTCCCACCTTCTCCATCGTTGAGTTTTTCTGCGCGTTAAATGTTGAACATCTATTTCTCCAACTGTCTCGTGTTCAGCCTTGATGATTGTGTGGTTAGGGCCCAACGCCATTACACTGTAAGGACATCGGATAGCGAGCTGTTGGAGTCCAAGTAGCGTTGCTGACACAATAACACACAGCCATTCTTACTGAAATGTTTGAAAGCGGCAGGCGTTAGATTCACACAAACTTCGAGGCACCTTCCTTTTACAATAGGAAATTGGCAGTCATTGCATTTACAATTTTTAGGCTGTTCAGTCATTAATCGGAAGTTTATAAAGACTGATAACCAGAAAACAAGGAAAAATCGCAAAAGGTTGGACCTATAAGTGCAAGAATCCCAAATCAATGTGCCTGAGAATTACACCATTTAAAATTTGGAACAGTTTACGATATAAAATTAAATCTTTAATGATGGAATGACTTAAAATAGGTTTATGAGTTAAACAGAATTGTTAGATCAATGATAACAATAAACATGTGTTGGGTGAGACAGTAATGCAACGTATTATGTAGAATACTATGAACTAGGTATACTGAACATCTGCTGTACAATGGTCAGTAGAGCCAGGGTTTTTCATTGAAACGACTTGGGATTTATTGGAAAATTTGTACTTAAAAACCACTACACTGCGCATCCCTTGTACTACGTTAAAGAGTCTGAGGAATACCTCACATTGGTTGACTATTGAGGTTCTTACTCTTATCCGTAAAGGGAGATGAATGTATGAGAGATTTAGCTTACTGGGTACTGGCGGGAAAAAATCTCACCGCCGAGAGGCTCGAGGTATTTGTACCTCGACCTTATGCAAGTCTAGAAGTTTGAGCGAAGAAACATTCGTTAAGGAACCAATAAGCTACCTCAAATGCTTATACTGGCACATTAACCAAAGGACCAAGGGAAGACGAAATATTCCAGAATTATGGGAAAACAGGAGTGGTGCTTCATTAGTAGAGGTATATTATGGTAAAGCTGAAGTATTCACAGAGTGCTTTAGTAATGTGTATTTCATGAAGTTGCCATTCCATTCAGTTCATGTAACCCCTCACACACACTGAGCTATTTGACCTTCGAAGAACTCGGTGTTTTTCACCTGTTAAATGAGCCTAATATAGGCAAATCTATGGAGCCTGATGAAATGCATCCTCAGCTACAAAGGAATTGACAAGATTCGTCGTGAAGTATTTATACATATGTTTTAATCTATCTGTAACCCAGGACTGATTACTAATAGACTGTCAGGATGCCATTTCGTGTGCTTTTAAATACATTGTGATGCACATTGGTCATCAAGGTACGGATACGTATGTGATGAATAATATTGAACCATCTGTTGTCCAGAGACTCAATGACTCAGAATTCATCGCTAGCCTAGACTTAAAAACTACCGCACACTGCCGTGCAATAGCCGCCAAAGGTTTTAGAACCCCATGGTTATTCCGTAGGGCTTTTAGCCATGTCGATACTAAAACCATCTTGACTTTGTATACAGTATTCCTGGATTCTAAATTCGCGTACTGCGTACAAGTGGCTAGCCCCTGTCCAAAAAGACAGTGAGTTGTTGGAAAAGGTTCAAAGAACTGCAACTAAGCTGACTCCCGGAACAGAAAACCTCTCATATGATGCTTGACTATCTAAACCTGTTTCCATTGTTATATAGAATAATCAGATGTGACTACCAATTTTTAAATTACCTAGCGATAAATTCGCATCTGATATGCCCTCACTTTACTTGTCCTCTAAAACAAAGAATTTATGAGGACACTCAAAAAGTGTTCACAAGGTCAGAACAAATTACTTGTCAGCTTACTGTCAACTTTCCTACCGAATCATTAACGAATGGATTTCATTTTCCAATGCATGAGCGAAGCTCTAGCTGTCGACGCTTTCAAAAAAACGTTGGGTCAACCGAGGGACCACCATTGCCAGGACTAAAACAGACCACATGGCTGAACTAAATTCAACTAAAGTGAAAACAGTAGTCTTGATGCATAATAAACAATCAAAATCGCAAACTTAACTCAGCGAGTAAAAACGCTGCCCTTCCCTTTTAAACAGCGCGCGTCCCAAAATTAATTCAACTAGTAGATCGTCGCGAAACCATAATATCAGTGAAGATTTCTCCGATATCATGCGTCATTATGTCGAGATCACCTTCGTTACTTGAAGGATGGAAGCTGAACTCAAATCGAATTTGACCGCTTCTGGAAGAATTTACAAATTGTCGAGGTGGCGCACCCATCGTTTTACGACACCTTGACCTTCAAGCGCACCACAACCTCCGTCAAGGAACTATGCCGCTGGATCGTCGCCCGACGAGGTTGCGAGTTAAAGTAGGATTTTGTTTTGTGTTAAATATAGGACTAGAAACATAGTAAGAAACAGAAAAGTGATGAAGAAATAGAATCTGATAGTGAAGCGAGTTCGTAAGCATTGTTTCCACAGCTCACTAACTGATTTCAGCGTTGGATCTGAAACAGAGTCTGATATCTCAGTACATGAAAGTGCTCATGAGAAAAAAGTACGACTCACAAAGAAGGCCATTCAGAAAGCACTTGAAACAGGTAATTTTGCACGTTTTTTTATTTCCCCAGTTGGTTCGGATGACGAGAAGTACGAAGCTCTTTCTTTACGTCTCAAAGAGGAGGCACTGCAGGCTAAGGGAAAGTTTTTAGCAAAGTTCGCACATCAGGTTAGTGTAAACCTAAATAAGTCCTATCGTTCAGATCAAATTCTTGAATAAGGAGGAAATTATGGTTCTTAGAGGTCATAGAAAATCTGTCTCTTGTGTATGTATTTCTGAAGACGGTAAATTTGCCTACACTGGAGGGAAAGATTCTTCAGTAATTAAATGTAAGTTGTTTGTTGACATTCCAAGAACCTACAGGGGATCTAAGCACTATGGTAAAACTGTGTTCTATACCTGGAGGGAAACGTGGAACAAAATATCCCTATCATACTGGCTCGATTCTGTCTATTTCCATATCCAGTGACAGTAAATATTTAGTAAGTTGAAGTTGTTTATCTTTAAATTGGTAATATAGAAATCGTTTTAGTCTTAATTTTCGTCCAAATAGCGCTCGTTAGCAAGAGAACCTGTATCCGTGGTCACTTTTATTTCGAATAATGTATTTGTTCTTCAAGATTAAATTGCACTTCCTATGGATACTGTATGCTCATATAGTCAGTTAGCTTGTCGTTCGAGACGATAGTAACCCAGTCACACGGCTTCCGAGTCATCAATACTTGGAACCTGCTGCCTGAAGCAGTGGTGTCCGCACCTTCAATTGACTCTTTCAAGAGAAGACTGGACACTCACAGAAGCATACTAGAAAAGGAATAACATAGGCTGTAGGCCTTCTGTCCTTACCACACAAATCTGAAAAACATGCTATGAATCGCGTACAACTTGATAAACTATTTTTACATCATAACGGTGATTAACAACAAACGTGTAGTTTTAAACAATCCGTCTGCAGGTCTGCCACGTTTTCCGTTTTAATATTCCCAAAAATGCTTAACGTACAACCAGGAATTTCTATTCCGTTTTTAAGTAATCTTGACTGTCAATATCTAGTGAGGTATGGTGGATGGAGACAGTTCAAACTATCAGAAAAGATTTAAAAGATCCAATGAAACAGCCACTCATTCTTTTATTCAGTGGACACTTAAGGATGATAATTAAGGGAAAACGAGAATGTAGCGTACTATGTTTCGCAGGTGTTTATCACCTTACATCTTTTCATCTAAGCCCACAAAAATAAGTGGGATAAAAATAGTTACAAGAAAGTCAGAAAATAACGGGAAAAACCATGAATCTTAACCTTAAAACTTTAAATACGAAACAATCTACCGTATCCTAGTTTGATGTTTGCCTTGATTTAGTTGCACTTCGCTATTTCTTTTGTGCAACTCCGCCCGGAGCCCCCCTGGGGCTACTGCCGCTCCTAAGTCCGGATAAAGAGGGAGGGTTGGGCATAGGGTTAACGACCCTACAGCGTAGAAAACTAACTCGCTCAAAAACGCTAACCAGAAAAAATTATTAATTTCTTTCGTACGAAAGGCACGGATAAATAGTGACAGCTGAAGATATATGACATACTCAAACCATCGAATTTATGATGAAGCTCAGCATCAACAGTTAGCTTATCTCTACTTAACTGCTCTAATATTCAACGTTGTTAGATGGCTTCAATAGTGTTGAAGTGCACAACCTGTTTGATCTGTAGCAGTGTAAACAGTATCCTAACCATACCAATAGTTGATTTTCCACCTACATTCGTGGTTACAGTTAGGTCTAAATTATATATTGTATACACTAGAATGCTGAATCATGTTACGTATCGGGAGAATTCAGTTTAAGGACCATGAAAGCTTGGTTAAGCAGCGAGCACTTAGATATAATATTGGTGAATATAGAACATGTTACTAATAGATGGGGTTTGGAGCAAAACCGAACCAATTTTAATCTATTCTTTCGTAAACCTGCATTCAAGGTTCCTCACAAAACGGTTTATTACTTGGATGCGATTCATTTCTTGATATATCTACATATCTAACAAATCCACTTTCATTTTACGTTAATTGTTTTGAAATAAATTATGATATACAACTTTATACATCAAATCATGCCCATCTACCATATCCTTTAGGCTTCCTCCAGTATGGACCATTCCGTTATAATATGGGACCCAAATGAAATGAAAGTTTTCATGAAACTACTGCACCATAAGGTACCAGTCACAGTGAGTATCATCATTTTCCTCATTATAATTTCATCATTCAGGCTGTTAGTTTTAGATACCATTCACACATGTTGTTTACAGCAGATTGTTCTGGTCGTGTTTGTGTTTGGAATATGCCTTTGAAAGAGGTATTACAAGACCAAGGGTAGGTGTTAATTATTTTTCAAATATACAATCTTGTTCCCCACTTTGTCACAGTCTGTTTCATTTTACATGTGCACCGTGTTGACGAGCATCAGCTTGCACGAAACCTATGTCCAGTGTTCTACGTCGATCACATCCAACTGTCTAACAGCCCCACAATGTATATTAATACTTATTGATCTAAAAGGTAGTGGTATTAGGTAGCAGGTAACATTTGAACAAGCTCTATGTACGCTAGTAGAGCTCAGTTGCCCTGGTGCTCCCGAAGGTGAGGAGATCTCGCTTTCCCTCTGGAAATGCTCTCATGATACACATATATAGCCACTACCAGAGAAGTCCTACTCATTGCCTTATCGTGGCGGGGATCAGGATGAGAAGCGAATGTTCAGTGCTGTAACCTAGTTGGTGGATATGGAGGATCAACCTAGGGGAATTGAAGACAACTGATTCCAAACTAATGATGCACACCTATTGCTGATAATCGGCCACCATGGGACTTCATCTTTTAAAGTTGCTATACTGGCTTGTGAATTAGACCTTCAGGTCAAAAGCTAGGGGGTGTGGCCCCTTAAGAAGACGAAAACTATGTATTTCTGTTTGGGCACCCAGACAGTATCACTGTCCTCACATAAACCAATGATAACTGCTACTGACCTCATTGTTTTTGCGTGGCGCATATATATTTGGTGCCCCCTTGCACTAATGTTTGTGTTCAAATAAATGAATAAACAAACCAGTGATGCGCCTGATGACCAGGGTCCTGAGGAAACAAATTGTGTTCGAACCTATTGTTGATCACTCGCTACCTTGGGACCGCATCTCATAATGCCTCTCCACTGTCTTATGGATTAGACCTCTGGGTTAAAGGCCAGAAAGTGTCTCCATATGGGAACCACCGCTTTGGTATGGGCACCCAGAGGATATCCCAGTTCACACACAAGTTCAGTGACATAGATTTTGATATCCCTTTGCGCCAATGTTTATGTTTTAAGATAAATAAATATTAGGACTACGAAGCTGGTTTTTATGTCTTGACGTTTAACCAAGTTTATTCTCCACATGAACTTCTAATTTGTAGCTTCTACTTAAATTTTCCCGGTAATAATGAGTTTCTAGTCAAAACGTATCTATTATTGATGTCATCATATTTATCTTTTTTTGTTTTTTGTCGCCAAAACCCGTGTCCATTAAATTTTTATTATAGCGTGAACAGACCACTTACTTTTCAGTTTGTGTTAATTTTTACTTCAAATACAGGGCAAGAACAAATATCGAAGTGTTAGGATTATGTGGTTTGGTATCTGAACGATGTGTTTCATGTTCTGGGTTTGGTGGTCCCGGCGTTTGTGTCTGGAAAGTTCCAGAAGAAATATGTGTTCAGTATAGTACAAAAAACACATTAGAGTAAGTTTCAGTATACTTTTTAGCAATTCGTTGCCGTTGAACTTAATCTCTACTCTATATTTCATTATGAATGTTCTTCTTTTACTTAATTACAGGAGTTCAGTAGAATGCATTTATGCAGTCAATGACGAAATTTTTATAGGGGGTTCTTCTACAAAGTAAGTTTTATCAATTCTGTCGAGTGTTTCATTACAGTTTATTTATTCATATACAGTTTACAATTCACCCCTCTCTATTCATTTTAGTACCATTTATATTTGGCATTCAAGTAGAGGTAGCCCTGTATTTACTGTTTCTCCTGCTCACCCTGTGGCAAAATTATGTCCACCGTCGATATCAGAGCCTTTTATCCGACCAGTTGCGAATTGGGTTTCTGCCATTACTGGTCTATATGGAACTGATCTAATTGCTTCAGGTTCCTCCACAGGGCACATACAATTTTGGCGACTTGTTCAGCCACAGTTGGATCGTTCAAATGAAGTTAAAGTACAACAACAACAACGAACACAGATCAGTATTGAACGCATACCAGGTTTAGGTATTTCATTGGTAAGCTTTACATCGTATTCAATAACTCTCTAGCACTTTTTGTAGTTTTAATTTTAATTTAATGAGGCTTACCTGAGATTCTAAACTGTCATTGATTGTGGGGTGGTTGAAACACAATTTACGTATGCCTAACCACCGCGACTTCTGATGCCGAAATAGGATAAAAACTAGGGACGGCTAAAACAAAGCGTGGTATCAGTTCATAAAGTTACTGACTTTTGAACTGAGCTGTGTGCATAGATCCCGTCTACCTGTTTGAAGTCCTCGTGACTATCATAACAGATCGTTAGAAGTAACGTTGTGTTGGCTGGCTCGAAATCAGTTGCATTGGCGCAGATACGTCCATTCTTTATTTTCTTGAGTTTGAAGAGTATGTAAGACTTTTGTTCTTTATATTCACTCTTTTCGAATCATATTCTATGCCTAATGTTTTCGACTAATACTGTAATTACTTCTACTACTCTTATATTTATCTCGATAATTTAATCTTCCTCTTCTGATCATATGTTGTGGGAAATCGAACTAACACAACCATATTCCTGATAACCGATTGGAACTTAACTATTGGTGGTGTTTTGCTGTTTTCGACATTTGTATTGTAGTCGGTTACTTTTTAAATCCAGCTATTAACATTGCACAGTATAAAAAAATGCTTCGACATCCGTTTTGTTCTACCACACATACGTAAATCTAAGCGTTATCCATTTCTTTACTGTGTATTGGATATATTTAGTTTCCAGAATTGATTTACTTTATTCTTGTCTGGTTTTTTTCCTTTTAATCACCAGGGTGGTTTTATCAATGGACTGGCTTTCTCTTCTGATCGTCGATATTTAGCTGTTTGTTTAGGTCAGGAACATCGGTTCGGTCATTGGGAGCCTAGACGTCATGTCACCAATGGTTTATTCCTAATCCCACTGAATGTATCCTAGTAAGTTTATAATGATATTTTAAAGCTAATAATAATGTATGCTCATTATGTTAAACGTAAGAGTATTGTCAAAGATGTTCATTAATTTTATATCTCTTTTCGTTTCGTTTTAGGTTTATGATTACCTCATGATAATTAACTTAACAGAAATTGTAAATCAGAAACTTCTTCAAAATAAACTTGTTTTGATACATATTTTCTCTTTATTTTACTATCAAAAGACTAGTCATTGACCAACCGTTTTATACTTTAAAAGTGTGGTTTTTAAATTAATTTTCAGTATATCTCTTCGGTATAATAATCAAAACTTTTTTAGTATATTTGTTACTGAACACGTAATCCTAATACTAGATGTATGTTGTGGATTTATCGAATCGCCTTATTGTACGTATGTTTACACTCAGCTTTACTGTACGTAGATATTTAAAGAAATAAACGATAATTAAAAAGTCCCAATATTGGCACATTAAAATTAAGTTTGGGATACAAATCCCTGTAGTAAAATGTAACAGTTATAAAATTTTGGATATTAATACGAACCCGCATAACATTTTATGTGTATGCCTTTAACCAGCATATGAACTTAAAGTAAATTTACCCTTCATATAGGGCTCAGTCTTCGTAGTAGTATATAACAACTGAGCGATTTCATCGAGATTTCTAGGTGAAAAGTAATAAGTCGAGTACTTCCAAATTTACATCGTAACAGATTCTAGTATCCAGTAAACAGTTAAATAATCATTCGCCCTAGATATTCTGTTGTATTAAAAAAAATTCTGAAGTGAACAAGTTCAGGTCATTTGGGATCTTGATCGTTTGTTTGTTAGATAAATATTTTGTAAGTGGTAGCCCTAGCGTATTCATGGTTAATGAATCTTGTGAAATGTGTTCAGTGGGAATTTGAGCTCGATTTTATAAACATTAAGGTCAATTCAGTATTTAATCTGGTCATGTAAGCTTCCTTAATACTCTAAACATTGTGGTTAAAGCTTTCGATCTTCAGCCACTAAATCCCTGGTTCTTGCTATGACCCTCGGCTTCAGCAACCGGGGAGTGTGATGCACACCCAAATATCTGGTGAATTAGTTTAAAAAAACTTTCGGGTATTCATTTATTAAATTTGTGGAAGTTCGCTTACTTCATATCGCCTTTATGTCGGCCTTCGTCATTGTATTTCGTAGTGCTGTCTACCATATTTTTTTTTAATTTCCCATTTGGAATAAGCTTAATCTTTGTGTACAGAGATTCTTGAATAACGTAGACGTCGCGCATAACAACTAGTGTTTGGACTTAAGTGGAAAAGGTTTGCAGTAGTTGAAGGACTAGATCAGTAATCCACATCGGATACGAACTCCGGACGCTAAAACGGGATAGAAACAGCAGTTAGATAGTCATCTTGTCACGTAACGCTTTGGTATTTTGTTGTGTAGGACTGGGACCTGTTCGTCAAGACTTGTAAGTTGCAGTCCTAGAGATGACACTCATCGGCTTGAGATGCTACCAGATATGGCTCACAACCGAAGCCAGTGCTAGTGCGGGTGTAATTTTCTTTTCCAGTCTTCCTTGATTCTAATTGTAGTTGAATTGTGTCTACTGTTATGTCATATTTTTGTTCATTTTTTTTACTAAACTACCGTCCCTTCTATTTCTGTACTTTAATATCTCTTTACTTATGTGACGAAATTGTCTTCAGTGTCTCGTTCTTGCCAAACGTTTTGTATAATGGGTAAAATGAAATAATCCGGGTATACTCGTTTTCTATCTACTTCATATTCATGTTTTTTATATTTAGCCATCAACATATCAGCGCTTTACCAGGTTATATTAGTGAGAGTTTTGAATGAGAGTTCTCTTCGTTCGACTTAACTAGTTTTCTTTTAATATACATTCTCGACTAGCTTTTGCCAACTTGCTTCATTTATGGCGTAGGCGAGATATCCGTCTATCAACCAAAAGACGTGTTTACTGTGCAGCAGTTCGTTCCGTCCTACTTTATGACAGTGAAACATGGCCGGTAAGAGTAGAGGATATTCGTAGGTTACTAGGAATTTTTGATCATAGGTGTCTTCGAAACATTGCTCGTATATCCTGGGACCATTGAGTAAGTAATACAGTTGTTAGGAAACGGGTACTAGGTAAGGATGACAAATCAATTGATGAAGTAGTGAAACTTCATCAGTTGAGATGGCTGGGACACGTGTTACGTATGCCCAACCACCGACTACCTCGACGTGCGGTGTTCAGTCGTATAGGAGTAGGTTGGAAGAAAGCTAGGGGCGGCCAGACCAAAACATGACACAAATCCATGAAGTCACTGACAAGTGGACTGAGTAATTTCGGTAGGTGTAGACTACCTGGTTGGGGACCGCGAGATGATAGCAGCCGATGGTTAGAGACATTGAATGATATGGCTCAAAATCGTTTGCAATGGCGCAGGTGCATCCACTCTTTGTGTTCTCCCAAATTTTGATCTCCTGATTCCCCCTTGTCTCTCTTTTTCTCTTCCCAAGTTTATTTCACTGTATTATACTCTTTAAGTAACATCTCCAAATACTAATCTTTCCGATTACTGCTTATACTCTTACCACCTCTACCACCATGGGGTTTGAATCGACAATTGTATCTGTGTGTTAATGTGGTGTGGCAACTCGAACTGATGTACGTACGTATGAAGTTCTACGTTGTTACTGACTGACTGACATTCTCTAAGTCCTTAATGAAGAAACTTTTAATAGTCGTTTTGCTTGTGGTCTTAAGATTTCTCAAGTTGACTAAGGCCTGATTAGCTAGGTGTGGGTGGTCGAGTATCCTCAAGGACAAAAGTCAACTGAAGAATCATTAGTTCAGGACAGTATTCGCCAACACCTTACCGACGATCGAACCTTCGAATCCTGCAAAGAATGCTAACTTAAAGGTACACTTTCACAACTGCATTGATTTATCAAGATAATACGTCTATCATCCAATACTGTCATTAATACCATTCTTGACAGGACTGAAAAGTGATCAAAGTTGTTTACTAGAGTTTCCCAAATTAACTAAAGTTGGTAGTGTCGATTGAATTCCAACTCAGTGTTTTAAATTTATCATGATACCTGGAAATTCTTGGTTCGGTTCATGGCTGTTTGTTGGTATGAAGTCTAAGAGACTCAGCTTGAAGAGAAACAGATATACAGTGCTACGCGACTTTCAATAAATCACTAAATAGTATCAGTCCGTGACAAAAACTACCGTCAAACTGAACAATCGTCATTAACTCTCCTTCCGTTATAGCGTGAACCTTTTACTATGATGTGGAAAGTAGGAGTAGTGTAATCAAATTTAAAGTCACAACTAATAAATGACGACTTTTCAATGCATACTTTACTAAGCACGCATGGACCAGTACTCAACGTCACAAAGAAATCAATGTACACACATGAAAGTATTGAATTTCGTAATTCACATTAGGTGCACGGAAATATAAAGTAATTGTCAGTACGAATGATCACATTTCTAATGTGAGACAAACATCGACTTTAAGCTCAAGATGGTGGGTACTTCATTATTTTAATGAAAATTATATGTTAGAAATTGAACAAAAAATTAATTAAACAGAATCAAGGAGAAAAGTAAACACTTAGACTCATTTAATAATGAGAGTATCGAATCAATTTATGATGCAATCCTTCCTATCCTTCTATAGACATACATTTTCCATATAACTATAAATACGAACATACAGCTTAAGTAAATAATTTCGTCGGATAGAAATTTTTATTTGTTGAATTCTATTTTTTATTCATTTGCACACTTCCTAAAATAATCCAGTGAAATGCTATCTGTCTTAAGTTTTTATCTTAACTCACCTACCTGAATTTGATTGAGATTATGAATCGATCGATAGTCGCGCGATTTCGTGGATTGGTTGAAGTTAAACATTAACACCATTGGGTGCCGGCTCAGTGATCTGGGGTTTAAGCGTTCGCGCGAGAGACCGGAGGTTCATGGTTCGAACCCCGCGTACAGGGTCGTAGGTGACCACTGCTGAAGAGTCTCATACTCGGATTAGACGGTCGTCCAGGTTTTACATGGTGGTCTAACATTGATCGATTCATGATCTCAATCAAAAAAATATTGTTTTAACTTATATTAGCATGAAAGTGATAGCTGATTAATTTTTTAAAAAAAACAGCCGAGTGAAGCACAAGTGGTTAAATTAATTTTTCGAAATAGAAGCGTATATATGTATATGTGCATGTAGTTATTCTTTGGTTAAACACATGAATATGTGGAAAAAGTGAACCGAAAATAGTAATAAAGGTTTGAGTTATGTTTGTTATTTAATTTTAGTTTGGATTTATTTTCTACAGTAATGATAAATAATGACATTGTGCATTTATTCAAACATGGAATTATAGCATCACTGTAGATTCATTCGTGTATAAGAAGTGCTTATCTAGTACATTACTTCTACTTACGCCTGTTACTCCGTGAAGGAGCATAGGCCGCTCACCAGCATTCTCCATCCAACCCTGTCCTGGCCAATCCCTTCCAGCTCCTTCCAGTTGTTATTCATCCTTTGCATATCTGCTTCTATTTCCCGACGTAATGTCTTTTTTGGCCTTTCTCTTTTTTGTTTTTCTTCAGGATTCCAAGTTAGGGCTTGCCTCGTGATGCAGTTTGATGATTTCTGCAATATGTGTCCTGTCCACTTCCATCGTCTTTTTCTAATTTCCTTTCCAGCTGGAATCTGGTTTGTTCTCTCCCACAGAAGGTTGTGGCTGATGGTATCCGGCCAATGGATGTTGAGTATCTTGCGTAGACAACTATTTATAAATACTTGCACTTTCTTGATGATGGTCGTGGTAGTTCTCCAAGTTTCAGCTCCATACATTAGAGCTGTCTTGACATTTGTATTGAAGGTTCTCACTTTGATATTGGTTGAAAGTTGTTTTAAGTTCCATATATTCTTCAATTGTAGGAATGCGGCCCTGGCCTTGCCAATCCTCGCCTTTACGTCTGCATCTGAGCCTCCCTGTTCATCGATGATGCTTCCCAGATATGTGAAGGATTCTACATCTTCCAGAGTTTCGCCATCAAGTGTGATTGGATTGCTGTTCTTCGTTTTGAATTTTAAGACCTTGGTTTTCCCCTTGTGTATGTGAGGCCTACTGATGCAAAGATTGCTGCTACACTGACTGTCTTTATCTGCATTTGTTCGTGTGTGGGATAGGAGGGCTAGGTCATCTGCGAAGTCCAAATTGTCCAGTTGGTTCTGAGCTGTCCATTGTATTCCGTGTTTTCGCTCAGATGTCGAGGTCTTCATAATCCAGTCAACCACCAGAAGAAAGAGGAAGGGAGAGAGTAGACAGTCTTATCTGACTCCAGTCCTTACTTGGAATGCATCTGTCAGCTGTACT